CCAACCCCCCCAAAAAAGAAGGAAATATTAAGTAAGAAAAATCAAAAGAAAAGAGGTGAAAAAATGTTTAAATAATTATCTAGGAGTACAATATTATAAAGCTATTGCTCCTACCTTTTCATGCAACAATCCAATGCATGCAACAAAGAAAGGGATTTTGGCATGTTGCCGGCCGTCTGAAGGTGGACATAAAAGTTTAGTTTTATGATATTAAAATTGAAATATCCGCTCAACAATTATATTGTTTATTGTTGGCCTTTTTTTTTTAAATTTTAAAAAACCTTTTCTTCTCTATAAACCAGCAGTCAAACTCAAATCTCTACTGCATTTCCTATATATATAATTTAGGGTCGTTTACTTTGTCATTTTCTTTCTGTTCCTTTATATTTCCTATGATACGATAGTCACATGTTAAAACTATACTTTTAGCTGTCTGTTTCTTCTTTTAAATAATCAACTAGTATTACTACCCGTGCGATGCGCGGACTTTATTAAAGAATATTAATCATATCAAATATTTATGATCTGATTTGTTTGTATACATTTTAACAAAATTGTAGTTATCATCTTATCTCAATGTAAGTACCCTTATAATAAAAATATATGTAACTAAATTAAATAATCATATAATCATCGAATAACTCTTGGATGATACTAAAATATCATACTCCTTTCTTTTCAATTTATCTGGCAGTATTCGAGTTAGTAAAAAATAAGAAAGACTTTTAAAACTTGTGGTCTAAAATAAACCATAAATATTTATATGCCTACAAATCAATTCATTAAGGGGTAAAGTATACATTCTACTTTTAAATGGCTACATTTTACGTAAACAAACAACATAATTTAGGGAAACCACCGGAAGATGGGACCAGTTAAATATATTTGAAGTTCAAGACTCTAAACCAAATATAAAAAAGGAGAGATTTTGAATACGACAGCATATAGAAACTAAAGCTACAAGAAACATGCGTTATTTAGATTTTTTTTGAAAAGATTTATGATTGAAAGTAAAATGAGTTTAAGGGACTTTTTTTTTGTCAAAGAGGTAGTATTAAATGTGAAGTTAATTCCAACAAAAATTAAGCTTTAAGATAATCGTTCAACTCAATGTACCATCAATAGTTTCCTAAAGATTAACATATAAATAGAACTGATTATTGCATCGATGAGAAATTAATTAAGCAACACTTGCATTAGATTATCTTCTTGTCGACATTTGAGGACTATACCTTTTTTAATCCTTTTTTTTTTGAAAAAAAAAAATTACAGCCGGTATAAATATTAGATTTTTCAAAAAGCATCTTAGTGCATTTAGAATAAACAAATCACACAACCTATCTTTTTTCTTAATTCGTACAAGAAGTGATGCTTTGTATTGTTATTATAAAACTAGTATTAGTACCCGCACGATGTGCGGATAATATTATGATCCTGTTATATTCTATAAATTAAAAAGAATAAATTATATGAATACCTATTGGCATAAACTTAAATATTATAATCCTATGTATAGTTAGTGATACAAACAAATAAAAATACAATATGATTCAAAAATAAATACTCCTTTCCTTGCAATTTACATAAAGTATTTTTCTTATTAGTCTATTCCAAAAGAATGACATATTTCTATATTTGAAAATAATTTAACTTTAGATTTTTTATTTTACTCATTTTACCCGTAATGAGAAGCTCTTACACCCATACAACTATCACGACCTCACAAAGCTTTTAGGACCACACTTAAAAGTTTTTTTTTTCATTCCTAAATTTTGTGCAAAGTCAGACAACAACAACCCAATGAGATCCCACAAGTATGGTCTAGGGAGGGTAGTGTGTACCTGCCCCTACTCCGGGGAGTATAGAGGCTGTTTCCGATAGACCTTCGGCACAAGAATAAGGAAAAAGACAGTGTATCAGTAACAACTAAATTCAAACTATCTCATCAAAATGAAACTGAATGAAATAATACTATATGGAGTAACAACTAATAAAATACATTTAGTAATATCTTAATTTAAATTATAAAATATATTATATTATTATCTCAACATAATAATTTCTCACATCAACATCAACTTCTACCGGCCTAAAATTTCACAATGGACAAATTAATATATACACACATGATGATTTATTGACAACCAATATATTCTAGTTTTTGGGAGTAACCAACATATAAAATAGTAGGATCGTAATTTGCTCAAGAATTTTAATGTCACCTCAATTTTAACCACACAATTAAAGCCACTTTATTTTTAACAATTTAAATGATACTTTTGGGATATAGTTAAGATTAACATATTATAATTAAATAAATGTTAAAATACTTTAAATGTACCATGCACATGTACTAAAAGAAGATGACTTCTTACAGGTAATTCTTAATTAAATGAATTTTACCTTACCATTTTTGTAATTCATTTTATTTTGTATAAATAGTAATCCCAAATAGTGCAATTATATTCCTGTATATGTTTACTCTATCTAAATCTACTTCATTCTAAGTGACACATATATACCGACCCCATTAGTTGCTCAATCAATTGGCTCATACATTTGAGAGAACATAAATATCAACAACGGGCTAAAAAGTCATAGTCTATACCTGAGCCATTAGAGAAGAATCCATCCTCCCTTCTTATCTAATTTAGCATAGCAACTGCTAGCACTAATAGAAAAATAAAATAGAAAAAGTGTATGAATTGCTTCCAAATAATTGAGATATAAAATAAATTATAAAATGCTGGATAATTAATTTCACCATAAGGCAACATAATTGACATTTAGTTCAGCCGATATCTGAGTTGCTTTATAGTTTAAAACATTATCCCCACGAAAATGTATGTCATCAGTTCCTCTATTCTTGTGTAAAATTATGATTGAATAACTCCCTTCCAACATTATTGGAGTTGCTTTAAAATTGATTGAATCGAACTGTATTTATGTGACAATTCTCTTTTTGAGAGTCATTTTAAAAGTATTCGACTCCAAACTACATACATCACACATCTTGATTTTTAAAACTAAAATGCTAATTGAGTAAGAGATATAGATTTTTTTTAAATTAATTCAAAATATCAATTTACTCACATTATCTTTATAGCCTCCCCCCTCCCCTTCTATATTATTCCCTCTACTATGAAATTTTATATAATTATTTCATTTATGTGGAAGTGTGACATTAAATTTCCATTTAAAATACTATATAAGAATTTAAATTATATTTAAATATTTTTAATTTATTTCTTGAAATTATGTCAAATGTCTATATTTTTTTAGTTTTATCGGTTATAATGGTTTTAAATACGTATATCTTATTCATATAATGTGACTTATCTCATTATTATTTTAGAAACGTTTCTCTTCTCAAAGATCAAATAAATCTTGTCATTCAATATACATCTGCTACTGAGATTATTATTTATTTACATATTTTTCTTCTTTTTTGATTCCTTGTTCATGTTATTGCATTATCCATAACTTAGAATTGTTCATATCATTGCCCAAAACTCCCATTAGTAGATGAATTTAGTTTTTCTTTTTCTTGTAATAAAAATTATATTCACTATTTTTTATTCTATTGCTCAAATTAATATTTAAATTTATCAATAATATTTTTGAGTATCATTTATTTATTATCTTTATTTTATATTTTAGCTGAATGGAGTACGTAGTGGTACTCGCATTATGTGTTGATAATACCTCCATATTTATCTTTATAATGAGCTAAGATAAGGGTGTTGTTTTTATCTTTCAGCTCAATATTTTCTTGTGGTAAAAAACTTATTAGTTAAGATAGGGTAATTGGTTGTATCGTTATAATACTATTATTCTTTCTTTCCATTCAGGTTCAAAATAATCTTATTTACTGCCTTTCCATTTAAACTAAAAAAATTACCTTTTAATTTTAAATTAAATTAAAAATTATTATAAATATTATCCTAAATTGTCTTTCAATTCAACTTTTATGTGGTCAAAACTTTATTTGTTAAGATAGGGTAGTTGGTCATATTTAAAATAATATTTAGCTTAGCCACAAATGCACATTATTCCTTTAGATTGATTTGAACATTGAGTTTACTGATTGGTGAAGAAAGTACTGATTGGTGAAGAAAGTACGCTATCATTAAAGCAAATTTTCTTTTATTAATCACCATACAAGTTGATGCTTCAATTTATATTTTCACTCTTCTTTTATCACTACTAATATAATATAAATTTTAATTTCATATTTGTTATACTTAAATTTATTGAATTAATGTCTTAGGGCACAAGGAGAAGTGAACGTTATTGATCAACCAAGCTAGTTACGAAAGTTAAGTTTTAATCCAACAATTCGGTAATTATGATTATGGGTTCAAACCTAGA